ATGAAGGAAAATATTTTGTGAAAATATTTTTCTGAAAAATGAGTGGTTTATTATTTATTTCCTCCTATTTGATTGGTGAGTGAGATTTTTTTCTCGAAAAATACTAAATATTTTCCCGAAAAATATATATTTAAGCAAATACTATGAGAGACGAAATGGTAAAGGGTAAGCGTGGAGTTGGGCGTCGGACATGGGGTTGGGGAGTTGGGGGTGGGGGTGTGGGCCGAGTGGAGATTGGTAGGGGTCGGGGTGTTGTGGGGGTAGGGGTGAGGGTGGGCATGGGTGGGGGTTGGGTATGTAGGTGGGGTGGTGAGTGTTTGTGGAATGGACATCGGGCGGGGACGGTTGAAAAAGAGTTTTGAAAAATATTTTTCCTTCTCTTGATAGGGAAATATTTTTCTTCAATTGGAGGAAAATAGTTAGGGTGATTAAGGATATGTGTGATGATGCTAAGACTCGGGTGAGGACTGTGAGTGGTGACTCGGACCATTTCCCTGTGGTGATGGGGTTGCACCAGGGATCGGCTCTTAGCCCATTTTTGTTTGCCTTGGCGATAGATGTACTGTCGTGTCACATCCAAGGGGAGGTGCCTTGGTGCATGCTATTTGCTGATGATATAGTTTTGATAGACGAGACGCGTAGCGGAGTTAACGCGAGGTTGGAGGTTTGGAGACAGACCTTGGAGTCTAAAGGTTTCAAACTGAGTAGAACCAAGACAGAATACTTGGAGTGCAAATTCAGTGAGACCCATGATGCAGACGTAGAGGTTAAGCTTGATGCTCAAGTTATCTCCAAGAGAGCGAGTTTTAAGTATCTTGGGTCTATTATCCAGGGTAACAGGGAGATTGACGAAGATGTCACACATCGCATCGGAGCGGGATGGATAAAGTGGAGGCTCGCTTCCGGTATTCTATGTGATAAGAATGTGCCGTTAAGACTTAAGGGTAAGTTTTATCGAGTGGTGGTTCGACCAGCTATGCTGTATGGGGCTGAGTGTTGGCCAGTCAAGAACTCCCACGTGCAAAAGATGAGAGTAGCAGAGATGAGGATGTTGAGATGGATGTGTGGGTGTACCAGGCGAGATAAAATAGGAATGAAGCTATCTGGGACAGGGTGGGAGTAGCCTCCGTGGAGGAAAAGATGCGGGAGTCGCGGCTGAGATGGTTCGGACATGTTAGGAGAAGAAGCATTGATGCCCCTGTCACGAGGTGTGAGAGGTTGGTCATGGAGAGTTTGAGGAGGGGTCGAGGTAGGCCTAAGAAGTACTGGGGAGAAGTGATTAGGCAGGACATGGCGCTGCTTCAGCTCACTGAGGACATGACACTTGATAGGAGGGCGTGGAGGTCGAGGATTAAGGTAGAAGGTTAGTAGGTAGTTTATAGTGTTCACCGATAGGCTTAGTAGCATGCATTTCCCTTCATATTCTTTGATTTTTATTACGGAATGTGATTTTGTTCGCCTCAGATATTGTATTCCGTGTTGCTATTATTGGATATTGTTTTCCTTCCTTGCTTCCCTCTTCTTCTTCTTGCCCTCCTGAGCCGAGGGTCTATTAGAAACAGTCTCTCTACCTGCATTAGGTAGGGGTAAGGTCTGCGTACAGACTACCCTCCCCAGACCCCACATGTTGGGATCAAACTGGGTTAGTTGTTGTTGTTGTTGTTGTTGGAGGAAAATAGTTCATGAGAAAAATATTTTTCAAAATATTTAAACCAATCAAACATGAAAAATTAAAAAATATTTTTCAGAAAATATTTTCGTTCGTACCAAACACACTTTAAAAGTTGAAGACAAATTGGCAATATGGGAATTACACATGCACTTGAAACATCATTTGGGTTTGAAATTGGAGTTGTCTGCTTGAGCTAGCTACAATGTGGTTACTATATTGATTGAACTGAGATCATCTACTAATTTGATAACTGAGAAATTCGAGCTCTATCACTATAACTCCTGGGATTCGCAATGGTGCCTGGTGGAAGGAACTTAAATTGTCACTAGACGTAGTTAGGTTTAACATTGATTGATAACATTGATTTGGAGTGTAGAAGAAAGAAAAAGACTGGCTATTTTTGAATGACCAGTCCGAAAACTGGCTAGCCCGTGCTATTTTAACGTTCATTTTGCTTTATTCTAGTTATAGAAACCAACTTCATCAAAAAATAATACTATGTATAGATACAAATTACGACTAAAGCAACGTAAATTATGTATAAAAGTTATATTTGAAACCCACTTGACAAAATCTTCTTGCAAAAGTGGTCAAGTGGGTTCATAAGGTCTTGTGATCGAATCCTTTCATCTTATGTGCCTACTTCATTTTTTTGTTTGTATAAATCGCAACAAGAGTCACAAAAGAAAAAAAAATCGTAATGATAGCACCATAGCTGGATATAACTGTCTTTGCAATCAAAGTAAATTATTTTCCTTGTATGTATTTTGCAGTTTTCTTTATTTTACTTTATAGTTTATTTTCTTTAGATAAATTCAATAGAAATTATATTGAAGTTTATTTTATTCCAGAAGGTAATTTTAGTTCTCCCTTTCATAAAATTTGCTAAGACTCGCACAATTGTAAGTATATTTGTTTGAAATTATTTGTCATTTGTTGGTTTAATTTAATTTAGTTTATGTTGGAATTTTTTTCGTTCTTTTTTTCTTTTTGGTTTGTGTGTGTAGAAGCTCTCTTTCTTTGATTATTGGTGTTAATTTAATTTAATTTGGGAGAATTACATCCCTTGTCACTTGGCCCAACAACCCATCAGAAAATGGCCCATGTTTGAAGCCCTTACTTAGTATACCCAGGTTGTACATAATGTGAAAATTAATTTTCACCAGTTAGCCAACCCTTTATTTCTTCGTTCCCCTTTTTTCTTCGTTCTTCTTCTCCTTCCCATGTTAGCCTTTGCACCACAAAATTTCTCTACTATTTTTATTCTCCTTCAATTCTTTTGCGGATTTCAATGGTTAATTAAGGATTTGAAAAATAAAAGTCACCATTACAAGTGGTTCGAAGATTCGATTTCAGAAATTGAGTTTTTCGATTTGTTAGTTGTTTGGAATGGTGTTGTCTCAATTGATTGGAATCATCAAGATGTGTTCAAAACTTAAATTTCAAGTGATTTGGAGTAGATTTAGGCTATATTTTAGTTAAATTTCAGAAATTGAGTTTTCCGATTTGTTAGTTGTTTGTAATGGGTGTTGTCTCAATTGATTGGAATCGTCAAGATGAGTTCAAAACTTAAATTTCAAGTAATTTGGAGTAGCTTTAGGCTATATTTGAGTTAAATTTCAGAAGATGCCCAAGGAAGAAGAAGAACCCGTGAAGCTCCATTGATAGGATTCATTTGTATAATAATGTATAATATTATATAAATAGTATATAATAGTGTATAAACACAACTTATACACTATTATATCCAAGGTTGATACATTATTTACAGGTATTTGGTGAATTTCTCGCATCTTCTTCTTCTTCTTCTTCTCATTTTTCTTATACACCTATATACATAGTGTATCAAGAATATTTTCACCCTGTGATTATACATCTTTATACACTTTTATACAACTATATACATACTGTACCTCTTTGTATAAAAGTGTATAACATTGTATAAAAGTGTATAAGCATAGCTGACAAAATTTTTGTACGATTTTCACTTGCAATTCTTGTATAAAACTAGTCCAAATCTCCAGCAAATAACTTCAAACTTTGTATACAACCTACATAGACTATTTCTAATAAGTTCAAACAATACCACTCCAAATTTCTCACAAAATCATAATCGAAATTTAACAAGATTAGCATTAAAGGAGGTGAGATTTTAGGTTTCTCGCGTCTGTTTTTGCGTTTAGCAGTTGTGATAGGTATGTATAAACCTGAAGATATACAAAATTAAAAAAAAAAAAAACAGAGAAGTATTGGTTATGGAAGAAGGTACGAATGAGTGTTGACTGAATGGGGAACTAATTTTTCTTTTCAGTTTTGTTAGCATATGATTCTTTTTCATTAATTAAATTAAATATTTATGGGTGAAAACTAAAAAATGAGGAGAGAGCTACAATAGGGGTAGGTAGGAATAAATGAGGTTGTTATAATTAGATGGAATGAGAAAAGAAAAGATCTTATTGATATTTGGCTACACATTTGCAAACTTGTAACTGAGCTAAAATAGTGCAAGGTCAACTTATGAAGTGCATTATTCTTAATTTTGTCATTTAATTTGTACTTTTTTTTATTGTCTCCTTTTGCAAATAATAACTTGTTACCTAATAAATGCTAAAAAAATTTTATAATATATCAAATTTATTTGAGTTAATAAATTCTAAAATTGGTCAAGAATTTTTTGGTTAAAGTTTAATAAATTAGCTAAAGTTAGATTTTTTAAATTAAAATAAGCAAAAATTTGTTTAAAATATAGAGCACCGGCTTTAAAAGGACTTTATTACGAGATCACATTGTGAGCAATAAAGACAAAAAAACTTACTCCTTGTGCCTTATGCCGCATATATTAGTTATGGACTTCTACGATTGAAGCCGCTTGCACAAAATCCTGGGTCCACCACGGATAGAAATGATGGAAGAATTGACAATTTGCTATTTTAAAATGCTATACTGAGTTTTTGTGAATTTTCTCTTTTAGATCTGGTAAAAAGAATTTGCATTTAAGATGAACTAGATGTGCTTTATGCCCCCATAGATTTGTAATTTAGTTTAAGTTTCAATTCATTGGAAAAGTTCTTTTGTTGTATGCACATTTTTATCGCCAATGGTTGATGCATTAGTTTCAAGGTTATTTGTAGCTCCTGCAATATCTGATCCAATAAATTTCACTTCAGTAAACGTATTATTAAGCAGCACCATTTGTTCATATATTGTGGTCCAAGCTATATTGTCTCTCCTGCATGACATAATCTTTTACCTATGGAGGAGTTGAAATTTCCATTGAGGCACAATACTAGCATCTTGGAAGAAGTTGAAACATACTTTAAGCTTGAAATGAGAATAACCCGGGTTTATATTACTGGAGGAAGATCTATATAAAGTTGACATCCCGTTGAGATAGATTTTATGATTGCAATCACAAACTGATATTCCTAACAAATTCTTGCACAGTGATCTTCCCCTTTTGATGATATTTTCTTATCAACTTGATAGCATGAGAAGGCAAGATGTTTGATAATCTGGTGATACAAAGCATCAAAGGAAATCCTTGGTAAATATAATTCTTTGAAAGAGTTGGAAATTCATCGACGACGACTTCAGGGAAGACCTGTACTCAGACGACTACTCCAAACTATATACTTTCTTGGAGATATTAAGTTGTTCAACCCCAGAATCAAGAGTTGATCCTGTATAAACTGTTGTGAACAAGGAGTTAGTACTTCCAATCTTCCTAGTACCAATTCGCAAATCAATAAACGCCTTAGTCTTGAATATTAGTTTGGAGACAATCAAGGAGCAGAAAATTGAACTCCATGGCAGAACTTGAACAAAACCATTAGAAATTATGTCAATGATTCCCTTGGAAGCTCCAGACCAACCTTCCTATTAGCATTCCATTGCACTTTTTCTCCATGGCTTTAGTAACTAGAAGGAAAGATTAAAACTCTGTTTGTGAAACAGAACCAGATTAACTCCTGTGCAAGGCATAGAACAAGTGTCAGATGGTATTATTTGGCATTACTAGCAACAGAAATGCATATGTCACCATGCAGTAACATGATAGCAACCTCAGAAGAATAAATATGAAAACCAGCAACATTCATTAAAAGCAACGGATTTGGCTAACACTCTATTTGGATCATTGTTCCCCATCGTTTTATAATGTATTGTATTGTATTGTATCGTATTGTATCGTATCGTTTTATGAATACAATGTTTGAATAGATTGTATTGTTTGTTATTGTTAAATAATATTTTGCTGTTTGGTTTGACTGTATCGTACTGTAACGGATAAATTTACTAAAATACCCTCAATTGTTTAAATATTAAATTTATCAAAAAATATGCATAAAAATAATTTTAAAAAGCAAAGCAAAAGAAGGCAAAACACCTTAAGAAAGCAGAACAAAGGAGTGAGACAGAAGAAGGCAAAACAAAGGAGCACAACTAATTTTGAATTGAGTTAAAAGCAAATTAGGAGAAAAAATAAAACAGAAGGCGGCAAAACACCTTTAACATTGGTGGCAGAAGTTCTGGAAAAAAATAAAGTAGTTTATAGGTTGGTGATTTGGAGTTAAAATAGCAAAAAAAGCTAAAGGATAAAATAGAATTGTGGAGTAATAAGTTAGGGCATAATTGGAAAGAAAAATAAGAAACAATCCCACCACACCAAATCGATTGTTTCAAAAAAGGGGACTTTTCATTGTTACGAAACAATGAATTTAACAATACAATACAACCAATTTTAATGAAACAATCAAAACAAACATTGTTTCGAGATGACAATATAATACAATACAATGGGGAACAACCATCCAAACAAGTTGTAAAGGTGTAGCCTTCATTTTCAGCTGTTACCTACCAAAATTGCTGTGTTCCTATGCAAATAAAATAGCGGCTTTTGAATAATTTACAGGGTAAACAAGACAATCACCGACAAACCATCCTATTGTAGCGAATAAACGAAGTAGAAAATAGCAACAGGTGTAGCCTTAAAATACTGCTGAAACTGTTACCTATCAAATTGCTACCACAGTGTTCCTATGCAAATAAAATAGTGGCTCTTGAATAATTTACACGGTAAACAAGACAATCACCGGCATACCATCCTATTGTAGCGAATAAACGAAGCAGAAAATAGCAACAGGTGTAGCCTTACAATACTGCTGAAACTGTTACCTATCAAAATTGCTACCACAGTGTTCCTATGCAAGAGTTCAAAAGAGCTTTGAGGTTTGCTTATCCCATAATAAAACCAAAAAAAACCACTAACCAGCGGGTATCTGCTTCTTTGTAGTCAGATCTTGGCTATTACACGATCATGCAGGTAGCAACATAAATGTTATTTCTGTATTAAAGCAGCTAGATAAGACTTGCGGTCAGATTGCTTAAAGACCGTATTGCACAGAAGCAGCCACAATAAAATTTAAATAAACTATTCTTTTCAAACAGCCCATGCCCACAATGCAACTAACTTTTTTCCCCCTTATTAAGCACCATTATTTTCTGATGCTGAATTAATGCAAGCGACAAATCCAAGTTATTTCTTTGTAATGTAATACAATTAATCACTGCATATTTTCTTCAGGGTGAAGAATAACCATTACAAAACTCTATGAGACGAGCGAATTATCATTCACACAACTCTATGAGGACAAAGGATTACCATTCATAAAATTCTATGGTTCATTTTATTGAATCAAGTATGAGGACCAAATCAAAAAATATATATGCAAAATACACCAAAAATGAACAAGGAATCATGACAAAATTAGTCTAATACCTGAGAACAGCATCATCTCGGCACATTACATCAAGCAATATGGTAATCCTCGGTTCCCTTGCTAAACATAGGAGAGACAAGACTCTCCATGAAAGTTCCAATTCTTTCAAACTTAGCAGTTATTCCATCAACCTTCAAATCTCTCCATTGATCCTCTTTCATGCTGTAGATAGTCAACTTCTCTCTATCCACATTCAATAAAACATCACATCATCACCGATTGAACAAAATGGTACTGAACCATACTCTAAATGTAGTCTAGCAATCCTAAATCTAGTCCAAGACTCCACATCTCCATACTCTCTCATCATCCAAACATCAACTTCGTTTTCTAACGTATCAAATAACATACAAAGACACCCTCTAAGAGCCGAAAGCTTATTAAACACAAAATTATTGTTATCAAGAGTAGCAGGTGTTGGCACCTCCAAGAATTTCTCATCACTTAAATCAAAAGCAACAATTACATATGAATAATCGGGAGCTTTCCTAGCCAACCAATGCAAAGCCCCATTTACCAAAACCCCAGAAGCACGCATACGAATTGCACGATAATGAGGTAAACTCTGAAGTCTCTTCCATAGACCCATTCTCACAGAGTAGACATCAACAAAAGTATTGTCAATATGCCCTCGATATCGAGAAAGAGTAACCACCTTATAATCATCGGTAGCAAAATCATAACCTAGACCATACACGCTACAACTACCAGGTAAAGGAAGAGCCAAATGAAAGTTTGGAATTCTATGGTAATTTAGAGATGTGGGGTTAATTAAATACTTAATCATTTCATCATTTACTACCAAGACCAAGCCGTTACATGAGCCAACAACTCTTACCCAGTTATCTGAGAGCTGCTGAAAATTAAGTTTTCTTGAAATAGCATCAGTTGTTCCATTTTGGGGATTGTGGTTAAAAGTGATAGTGTGAAGAGAGTTAGAAGCAGAGACATAAATGAGTTTCTTTTCTAATTTATCGGCATGGATTGTGAGGTGAAATTTGATGAATTGTGGGTCTGAGAGAAAATTGAGCCATTGCTTTGACACGCACCTGTATTGACCTACGAATTTTGCAGGCAGCCGAGAAAGTATGTCAATTATGATTTCTTGAGGTAGGGTTTCAGCTTTGCTCATCGCCATTGTTGAATTTGGATTTGGAGGAGAAACTAATTTAAGGTATTTTCTTGTATCTGTACTCTAGTAGTTTTATAGCGCCTTTTTTGGAAGTAAAATTTGATAGGAAGATTTTTTTCACTTTTTGTTCGAAATTAACTTTTGTTCATAACATTTTTTTTTTCTGTATTCATTTTGAAAATTTTCAAAAATTTGAAAAACTGCAAAAAGTTATTTTTTAAAATTTTTACTCAAATCACTCACAAAACTTCAAAAACAACCCAAACTGAAATTTATGTCCAAACACAACTCTAAGTAGGCGTTTGGACATGATTCCAATTTTTTTTTTTTTTTAAATTTGGAATTTCACTAAAATTTGAATTGAAGATTAAGTTAGTATTTGGTTATAATTTTTGCAACATATTTGGATGTCTTTTTTTTTAAAAACCATAAAACTTGATTAATGCCCCACAACTTATAAAAAATATTAAAATCACCCCAATTTGATTATCCTACTTGAAATAAACAATCAAATTCCTTTTTTTTTTTTTTGATGAAGTGAGTCAATATTATTTGCCAAAGCATCAAGAAGATGCAGATGTTACAAAACAAAAGAAGTAGCAGCACAAAAAATCAACAAAAGATATATCATAAATAATCAAAATGCTATTGTTTAAAAATATGGGGTAAATTTGTAAATCTAAAAACTTGAAAATGCCCATTTTCAATTGAAAAAGTGGTTACAAATTTGAAAATAGATTTTCAAGTGAAAAAGGAAAAAATTGATAAGAATTGTATGTCCAAATATTGTTTTCAAATTTTTTTTGAAAAAAAGCAAAAAAAATGTATGCCCAAACGGGCTCTAAATTTCAAATACCATTTTCACTTTAAAAATTTTTTTGCTATTTTTTCGAATTTTACAATTCTTATGTCCAAATGCGTACTTAATTTTTGGAAAAATTAATAATAATAAATTTTAAGCTAATGGGTGGAAAAGTTTTTTCATATTTCTTTTCCAGCAAAATTTTCTCTTTCAACTTGATTGTGCTTTTGGACAGTATATTTGCTTGAATTTGACAATAAAGTATCTGAAGTTGAAATGGAATAACAATACTTGAAAGTCAAATTACATCTGGACATGAGTTTTACTTTGAAAAAGATTGTAATTTCATAAATGAAAACCATTCTTGAAATATTCTTCAAGGAATTTTTCACTATTTTATCAATATATGATCAAACTATAACTTGCAAATAACAATTTCAGTATTTGCAAATTAAGTCAAAGCCAAACAGAAATGACAACGTTGTAGGTAATACATGTTTTATCGTACCTTACTCGTTGAGAAATGCATTGAATTCGATGAGTCAAACATTCAGTTTTTTGTTATTATAAAAACAATTAGAGAGTACATAAAAGTTATATAAATCATATTTTGTTAAGAAACTTAGCTCAAAGTAATAAAACAAGAAAATAGACAAGAATATAGAGAGCAAGAGATGAGTGCTTCTTATTTCTTTTGTATGGGTCAGAATCCGTCCCCACGATAATTAACGAAGCTAATCCTGTCTTAAGCTAATTCATGATTAATTAGTGGCACGACCACTCAGAATTAACGATATTCAACCCGCATTTGATTCGATCAAGCAAGGTCATGGCCCATCCGCCACCATGAAGGCGAAACCCCAACGCGGTCACGGCCACTTATCGCCAACTCACGAAGCTCACAGCTATAAATACCAAGAGAGGAAACCCTAGAAAAGGGGGGGGGGGGGGCTTCTTCTTCGCCACTATTGACAAGAGAAAAAAGAGACAACGATACCCATATTATGGGCAAGAGGAACACCATTGTAAGGCTCTGAACCTCTTCATGGAGAGGCAGACCAAACCAATATTATCAATAAAGGCTTCTAATGTTTCTCCCCCTAACCCTGAGTACTTATTTTCGTTTTCTTCATTTGGTCCAACGGATTATTACGGTTTGCTATGATTTTCCCGTGATTCATTTATATTGTTTTATACTCACCATTGTATGTGATAACTTTTGAGCAAACAATTTGGCGCCGTCTGTGGGGATTTCCTAGAAAAATCGCGTAGTTCTTCCCTGGACCAAAAGGAAAGAAACGCCGGAGAAGAAGAAATAAAAAGACAACCCAGCTCGAACAAGCCAAAGCGGCATATCGGACAAGGGAAACTCTAAGATCTCAAATCAAGATCCAAATCCTCTCTCTCTCTGATCTCAGATAGTGCAAACAAGAAGAAGAAGCCTCCCCCCTAAGGGAGGATCTCTGAAAGGCATCTCCCGCATCCCTGATACGGGCTCCGGCCGAAAACCGGCACGGAGATATCTCGAGCCGAGAGTCGCCTCAAAACATCCTACATACCCCGATTGGGAAGGCAACGTATAAGCTGCTCGAGGTCTCGAATCAAAACCGAGCTTCAGCACTCGATACCCACAACACAAGACTCAGGCTATGCGCCTTCGCCATCAAAATTGACAGTTCAACAATAGTTGAACTGGGACTCAGGCTATGCGCCTTCGCCATCAAAAGTGACAAAGTTCAACAATAGTCGAACTGGGACTCAGGCTATGCGCCTTCGCCATTAAATCAAGGCTATGCGCCTTCTCCAGTAAGTTCGACTACGGTTGAACCAAGACTCAGGCCATGCGCCTTCGCCATTAAATCAAGGCTATGCGCCTTCGCCAGTAAGTTCAACTACGGTTGAACCAAGATTCAGGCCATGCACCTTCGCCATTAAATCAAGGCTATGCGCCTTCGCCAGTAAGTTCAACTACGGTTGAACCAAGACTCAGGCTATGCGCCTTCGCCATCAAAATCGACAAAGTTCAACAACAGTTGAACTGGGACTCAGGCTATGCGCCTTCGCCATCAAGATCGACAAAGTTCAACAACAGTTGAACTGGGACTCAGGCTATGCGCCTTCGCCATCAAAATCGACAAAGTTCAACAACAGTTGAACTGGGACTCAGGCTACGCGCCTTCGCCATCAAAATTGACAAAGTTCAACAACAGTTGAACTGGGACTCAGGCTACGCGCCTTCGCCATCAAAATCGACCAAGTTCAACAACAGTTGAACTGGGACTCAGGCTACGCGCCTTCACCATCAAAATCGACCAAGTTCAACAACAGTTGAACTGGGACTCAGGCTACGCGCCTTCGCCATTAAATAAGGCTATGCGCCTTCGCCAATAAGTTCAAATACGGTTGAACCATGACTTAGGCTACGCGCCTTAGCCATCAAAATCGACCAAGTTCAACAACAGTTGAACTGGGACTCAGGCTACGCGCCTTCGCCATCAAAATCGACCAAGTTCAACAACAGTTGAACTGGGACTCAGGCTATGCGCCTTCGCCATTAAATCAAGGCTATGCGCCTTCGCTAGTAAGTTCAACTACGGTTGAACCAAGATTCAGGCTATGCGCCTTCGCCAGTAAGTTCAACTACGGTTGAACCAAGACCCAGGCTATGCGTCTTCGCCAGTAAGTTCAACTACGGTTGAACCAAGACTCAGGCTATGCGCCTTCGCCATTAAATCAAGGCTATGAGCCTTCGCCAGTAAGTTCAACTACGGTTGAACCAAGACCCAGGCTATGCGCCTTCGCCATCAAAATTGACAAAGTTCAACAACAGTTGAACCGGGACTCAGGCTATGCGCCTTCGCCATCAAAATTGACAAAGTTCAACAATAGTTGAACCGGGACTCAGGCTATGCGCCATCGCCATCAAAATTGACAAAGTTCAACAACAGTTGAACTGGGACTCAGGCTATGCGCCTTCGCCATCAAAATGGACTAAGTTCAACAACAGTTAAACTGGGACTCAGGCCATGCGCCTTCGCCATTAAATCAAGGCCATGCGCCTTCGCCAGTAAGTTCAACTACGGTTGAACCAAGACTCAGGCCATGCGCCTTCGCCATTAAATCAAGGCTATGCGCCTTCGCCAATAAGTTCAAATACGGTTGAACCATGACTCAGGCTACGCGCCTTTGCCATCAAAATCGACCAAGTTCAACAACAGTTGAACTGGGACTCAGGCTATGCGCCTTCGCCATTAAGTCAAGGCTATGCGCCTTCGCCAATAAGTTCAAATACGGTTGAACCATGACTCAGGCTACGCGCCTTCGCCATCAAAATTGACAAAGTTCAACAACAGTTGAACTGGGACTCAGGCTACGCGCCTTCGCCATTAAAAAGTATGCGCCTTCGCCAGTAAGTTCAACTACGGTTGAACCAAGACTCAGGCTATGCGCCTTCGTCATAACTAGCATCCAGTTCAACTACGGTTGAACCAAGACTGCCTCGCCACAAAATGGAAAAGTTCAACAACAGTTGAACTGGGACTCAGGCTATGCGCTTAGCAAAGTTCAACTACGGTTGAACCAAGACTCAGGCTATGCGCCTTCCCCATTAAATCAAGGCTATGGCACCGGAACCAAGACTCAGGCTAAGCGCCTTCGTCATTAAATCTAGGCTATGCGCCTTCGCCAGTAAGTTCAACTACGGTTGAACCAAGACTCAGCCTAAGCGCCTTCGTCATTAAATCAAGGCTATGCGCCTTCGCCAGTAAGTTCAACTACGGTTGAACCAAGACTCAGGATATGCGCCTTCGCCATCAAAATTAACAGTTCAACAACAGTTGAACTGGGACTCAGGCTATGCGCCTTCGCCATCAAAATTGACAAAGTTCAACAGTTGAACTGGGACTCAGGCTATGCGCCTTCGCCATCAAAATTAGCAAAGTTCAACTACGGTTGAACCAAGACTCAAGCTACGCGCCTTCGCCATTAAATCAAGGCTATGCGCCATCACCAGTAAGTTCAACTACGGTTGAACCAAGACTCAGGCTATGTGCCTTCGCCATGAAATCAAGGCTATGCGCCTTCGCCAGTAAGTTCAACTACGGTTGAACCATGACTCAGGCTACGCGCCTTCGCCATCAAATCCAACGAGTTCGACTTCGCTCGAACCATAAGGCTAGACGCCTTCGTCCCCAAATCTAACTAGTTCCAACCACGGTTGAACCGGGACTTGGACCAAGCGCCTTCATCTTTAAACTCAGCGAAATCCAACC